CAACGGGCAAAAACTGAAAGCTTTCCCACTAAGATCGGGAACACGATGAGGATGTCCGCTTTCACCACTTCTATTCAACATTGTATTTGAAGTCCTAGCCACAGCGGTCAGACAAGAAAAAGAAATAGAAGGCATGCAAATAGGAAAGGAGGAAGTGAAGCTATCATTGTTTGCAGATGACATGATAGTGTACATAGAAAACCCGGTAGACTCCACCAAAAAACTACTCAACCTAATAAGTGAATTTGGCAAAGCAGCAGGATACAAAGTCAATATTCAGAAATCAAAGGCAGTTTTGTACACCAGCAATGCATTAGAAGAAGAAGAAATAAGAAAAAAAATACCATTCGCTATAGCAAGAAGAAAATTAAAGTACCTAGAAATAAATTTAACCAAGGAGGTAAAAGACCTGTATGCAGAAAACTATACAACACTGAAGAAAGAAATTAAGGAAGACACAAATAAATGGAAGCATACACAGTGCTCATGGATTGGAAGAATTAATATCCTCAAAATGTCCATACTACCCAAAGCAATTTATAGATTCAACGCAATCCCTATTAAGATACCAATGATGTATTTCAAAGAAATAGATCAGACATTTCAAAAATTTATATGGAACATAAATGACCCCGAATAGCCACAGCAATACTGAGAAAGAAAAACAAAGTAGGAGGGATCACAATACCGGACATCAAACTATACTACCAAGCCACTATACTCAAAACAATCTGGTACTGGCACAAGAACAGACCCATAGACCAGTGGAACAGAATAGAAAGCCCAGGAATAAGTGCAGGTCTATATGGGCGACTAATATTTGACAAAGGGGACAGAAGCATAAAATGGAGCAATAATAGCCTCTTCAACAAATAGTGTTGGGAGAGCTGGACGGCTACATGCAAAAAATTGAAATTGGATCATCAGCTGACACCATACACAAAAATAAACTCAAGATGGATAAAAGACTTAAATGTAAGTTGCAACACCATAGAAGTCCTAGAGGAGAACATTGGCAGGGAACTCTCAGATATCCCACGCAGCAATTTTTTCACTGATATGTCTCCTAAAGCAAGGGACATAAAGGAAAGAATAAACAAGTGGGAACTTATCAAAATAAGAAGCTTCTGCACGGCTAAATAAAACAACAGCAAAATGAAAAGGGAGCCAACCCTATGGGAAAATATATTCGCTAATGATACATCAGATAGAGGTTTGAGCTCCAAAATATATAAAAAAGTCTCATGACTCCACTCCAAGAAGACAAACGATCCAATCAAAAAATGGGCAAAGGACCTGGGCAGACACTTTTCCAAGGAAGAGATACATAAAGCACAGAGACATTTGAAAGGATGCTCGGCATCACTAGCCATCAGAGAAATGCAGACCACAATATGGTACCGGCTCACACGAGTCAGAATGGTCATCATAAAAAAATCAAGAAACAACAGGGGCTGGTGAGGCTGTGGAGAAAAGGGAACCCTAGTACACTGTTGGTGGGAATGCAGACTGGTGCAGCCATTGTGGAAAGTAGTGTGGAATTTCCTCAAAAAGCTGAAAATGGAACTGCCTTTTGATCCAGTGATTCCTCTGCTGGGATTATACCCTAAGAATTCCAGAACACCAATGCAAAAGGACCTGTGCACCCCAATGTTCATAGCAGCACAATTGACAATAGCTAAGTGTGGGAAGCAACCTAAACGCCCATCAGTTGATGATTGGATCAGAAAACTATGGTACATTTACACAATGGAATACTACGCAGTAGAAAGAGAAAAAGAACTACTAAACTTCGCGACAGCGTGGATAGAACTGGAGAGCATTTTGCTAAGCGAAATAAGCCAGGGGGAAAAAGACAAATACCAAATGATCTCACCTATAAGTGGAACCTAACCAACAATACAAGATGCAAGGAAAATAAGACCAGCAACACTGAAAGGAAAAGAAACCAACAGAGACAAGAGGGAAGGAGGGAGGGGGGGACGGGGGAAAAGGAAGGGAATGGGAGGGTCGGGGAATGTGTGGCAAGGTCTCATGGACAAAACCAAAGAGGAAGGATTGAGGGATGGATGGGGGAGGAGGCAGGGGAAGATGGTGGGGGGAAGGCAGAGACAAATGTATTTGAAAAAATAAAGAAAATAAATTAAATAAAAAAATAAATAAAAAATAAAATAATTTTAAAAAAGATTGAAAAACTAAGTATTTTATTTTTCATCATAGTAATTACCATTGACCCAGCCCTTGAGTGAAAATCCACTTTAATTATTAGCTGGGAGGAATTTGTTACTAAAATAAGCTCTCAGTGTAGGCTCTAATAGCTTTTTTCAGTAGTACTGTATTTGTGAGTGTTGTTCTCTAATTACCTAATGTAATAGCTGTAAATTATCTGGGAAAGGAGTCCAAATGGTTTACATTTTGTGCTTGTTTTTATCCTTCACTGAAATCTGAGAGTACATTATTGGTTGTTGGTACAGTACATGTGTTCGCCATGTATTTGGAAAAAATATATGGATGACTGGAAAAAAATATATGGTTCAAGTTCAGTGCCACAATACTGAAATAAGAATAATTTGGAAAGACAATTTTGTAAAAATCCTCTGAACATATAAAAATTTTTGCCTATGAGAGTAAAAAAGAAAAAAAGAAAAAAAGATAGTAAACTAAAAATGGATTACAGGCTTAAATGTAATACTCAAACCATAAAATTCCTACAAGAATACACAAGCAGTAAAATCTTGAACATTTCCCATAGCAAGTTTTTTTTCTGATATATTTCATTGGGCAAGGGAAACAAATGATAAAAGAAACAAACTAAAAAGTTTTTGCACAACAAAGGAAGCCATCAACAAAACTTACATATAACCTAATAAATAGGAGAGCGTATTCTCCAATAATACATCTGATAAATAGTTAATATCCAAAATTTACAGAGAACTCTTACAACTCAACACCAAAGAACTGCAAATAATACAATTAAAAAATAAGCAAAGGACCTGAACTGACACTTCTCCAAAGAGTATATACAGATGGTCGACAGACACATGAAAAGATGCTCAATGTCACTAATTATCAGAGAAATGCAAATTAAAATTACAGTGAGATTAAAACCAAAAGGCAAATTAAAATCACCTTACACCTGTCAGAATGGCTGTCATTAATAAAACTACAAATGATTAGTGTTGGCAAAGATGTAGAGAAAAGGGAAGTGTTGTGTATTGTTGGTGATACAGACTGGTGGAGCCACTATGCAAAACAGTATGGTGTTTTCTCAAAAATTGAAAATAGATCTGCTATATGCCCTGACCAGTGTGGCTCACTTGGTTGGGCATTGTCCTGCAAACTGAAAGGTTGCTGGTTCAATTCCTGGTCAGGGCACATGTCTGGGTTATGGTTTTGGCCCCTGGTCAGGGTGCATATGATAGGTAATCAATTGATGTTTCTCTCTTACATCGATGTACCTCTCCTTCTCTTTCTCTCTCCTTTCCCCTTTTTCTAAAAATAAATAAATAAATACAATATTTTAAAAAACAGATCTGCTGTATGACACTTCAATTCCACTTCTGGGGGATTTAGCCAAAGAAACCAAAATCACTAATTGGAAAGAATATACATATATTGTCCCTGTGTACCCTATGTTCATTTCAGTGTTTTTCCAATAGCCCAGATATGGAAGCAAACTAAATGACCATCAATAAACAAGTAAATAAATAAGTGTTGATACACACACACACACACACACAACTAGAATATTAACCCAGCCATAAAAACAACAATGAAATCTTACTATTTGTGATAGGATGGATTGACATAGAGGGTATTATGCTCAGTGAAAATAAGTCAGTCAGAGAAAGACAAATGCCATATGATTTCACTTACATGTGGAATCTAAAGAACAAAATAAGTTAAAATTCCAACAGACTCATGGACACAGGATAAACTGCTTGTTGCCAGAAGGGAGGGGTTTTGGGGACTGGGTGAAAAAGTGAAGTGATTAATAAATTTAAATTGGTAGTTATAAAATAGTCATGGAGATGTAAGTAAATCATAGGGAATATAGTCAATAATATGGCAATAACTATATATAGTACTAGTTGGGGTACAGGAAATATTGAGAACACTATATAAAATATATGATTTTTCTAACCATTAAGCTATATACATGAAACCAATACAAAATAAAATTGAAAGAAACAAAGAATGAATGTATTTTAAAAATCTAAAAATATAGTTCAATCCATGTTTTTAAAAAGACTATATATTGTATGATTCCATTTATAGGAAATACCCATGAAAGGCAAGCCTGTAAAGATGAAAAGCAGATTAGTGGTTTCCTGATTTGAGAGTAGGAATATATGGATTAATTACAATGAGCATGAGGTATATTTTGGGGGTGATAGGTGTGTTCTAAAATTGGATTATGGTGATGATCACACAACTCTGTATATTTACTAATAATTGAAATGTGTCCTTAAAATGGGTGAATTTCATAATATGTAAATTGTGCCTCAATAAAAGTTTTTTAAAAAGATTGAGGGAGGGAGAGGTGGGGGACAGGGGAAAGTAGTGGTGGGAAGGCAGAGACAAATGTATTTGAAAAAATAAATTAATAAAAAAAAAAAGAAAAAGGACAGAGAGAAAAAAGAAAAAAAAAGACCTCTCCAGGGAACTAGACTAGTGCTGGATTTTTTTGGAAATTATTTCCAACATTTTGAGCCTAGATAACCAATATTATATTCAAGACTTGTTAATGAAAATAAAAAATTAAATGTGCCCCCAAAATACTCAAGATGAGCATAGCAGTCCTCAATATTCAAAGTAATGGCCATTGTGGAAAGAAAAGGTCCAAGTTCAGTGCCATAAACTTTTCTGGCTGCCTTCCAAGGTGGGAGGCTGAAATGAACTTTGCCCTGGGTGACACTCTTCCTTGTCACTGATTAACCAGCTTTGTAGGAAGGCTGCTCCACAGACATCCTCTGCCTGGAGAGTGATATCTGGCCAAGTATTGGTGAGTAGAAAAAAATGTCCACTCGCTACCACCAAGCTGCTAGTGATAGCTACCTGGAACTTCTGAAAGAGGCTACCAGGAGAGATCTGAACCTTTCTGATGAAGATGGCATGACTCCTACACTCCTGGCAGCCTACCATGGGAACTTGGAAGCCCTAGAAATAATCTGCAGCAGAGGGTAAGTTCAACCTGAGGGTTCTTTTAAATCCTCACCCAAGGAAATGTTTATTGATTTTAGAGAAAGAGGAAGGCAGGGGGAGGGAGGGAGAAATAAACATCGATGTGACAGAAAAACATTAATTGGTTGCCTCTTATACATGCCCTGACTGGGGATTGAACCTTCAACCTAGCTTGTGCCCTGACCAGGGGATCATATCAGCAACCTTTTAGTGTATGGGATGTTGTTCCAGCCAACTCAGACCCCTGGCCAGGGCCAACCTGAAGATTTTGATGGGAAACTGTTTACAGTAGGATTTGGCAGACCAGTGGCAAGAGAAAGAGAATTCAGTGAAAATATGGTACTTTGCCCTTTTTCTAGACTAACTAATTGTATTTTTAGAGAAAGGGAGAAACCGCCTAGAGATACTGTCTTTGCTCACTGAGAACTGGCTCCACTGGGATGGCTCATCCTTGCTGAGCCACATATAGGGGGAAAAGCCCTGAACTCTTAAGGTATGTTAGCTGCCTCATGGAGGAGATATTTTAATTCTGTGCCTTAAAAAATATTATCCATAAATTTAAATGATTGTCCCTTTAAAAGCAGATCACTGTTCTACTTGGTTTTAAGATGTCAACCTTGATTGGAACACATGATGTTATTTTAGTTTTCTATCTATTCTATTAAAATCCCACAACCTTTATTAATACTCAATCCTAGTGCAAGTCCATGAATCTTAGATGAAGTTGCTTACTTTACAAGCTGTATAAGTGTCCTTCAGCCTGTCTTACCTTTGTTACCTTTCTGGCAGTCATATACACATAGGCACACACTCCCCTCACAGCCCCCACCCACAAATTCTAACTCAGGAGTTAGCTAACTCTTTTCTTCTGCTTGTTACCAGAGGGGTTAGGCAGTATTAGCAACTATACCCTAAGAAGGGTAAAGAAAAAAAAGAAAATGTAAACAAAGGGGCCCAGTGAATTTATTTCAATTTAATACATATTTATTTATAGATATTTGCTATGTGTCAGCCATTTGCTAGCTGCCAGGATGCTGCAATCAACAACAGAGGTACAATGACTGTCCTCATAGTAATCAGATTAAGAGAAGAAGACAGAAATTAAGCAAGTTCTGTATGACATGTGTTACAAAAGGGATAATAGAGGGCACTAAACAGATGATGCAGGCATCTCTCCTAATCTAGGGGGTGAGGGAAGGCTTTCTGGAGCATTTACGCTGGGATTTGAAGGATGAGAAAGAGCTGATTAGATGAAGATGATAGGAAGATTGTTTCCAAATGAAAGCACTGTGCATTATTGAAACTGAAGAAGTTGAGTATGACTGAACATGGCTTGAGTGGAAGAGACCAAGTTGTAAGAGACAAGAACAGATCACAGAGCCTTGTAAACTCTGTTAAGGGGCATAGGAAGCCATTGCTATGGGTTTAGGCAAGGCAGCCACCTGGTCAATTTGTGTTTACAAGATTTGCTCAGGCAGCAGTACAGCCATGAGAGAGAGACAGTTTGGGGCCGTTTTAATGGTCAAGATGAGAGATGAACAAGGGTAGAGCAGTGGTAATGGAAAGATGTGGATGGACTCAAATGGTAGTTTGAATGTAAAATTAATTATGATTAACTGGATGTTGGGGTGGGTAAATAAAAGAACAGGAGGATTAAGGCCCCAGGCTCTGGTTTCAACATCTTGTGGATGTTGGCACCATTTATTAAAGTGGGGAGGCACTTTAGGAAAAGTTGGAAAAAACAAAGGTGTTGGACAGAGCTTCTGAGTTGAGAACTGAATGAGGAAGTCAGTGGGGGTGTTTTTCTACTCCTTTTGCCTGATGACTTCCATTTCCCAGACTGCACCCTGTCCCTCACCACCATCAATCAACCTTCTCCAGATTATAACACCATGCCATCTTTCCTTTTTTTTTTTCAAACTTTCTCCAACTATTTAGTGTTCCGCCTGTGCTCCAAATGCAAGATGCCAGTTACTTCACAACCAGTGAAAGCCTTTGCTCTTCTTGAGGTACAATTTAAATGGCAATGCCTAGATGTTCTCTTTCAGTCTCTCTCTTCTCCCCCTCCTTTGCTCCCTCTCTCTCTTCTGTATGCCTAAAACATTACTTTACTCTTATTGTTCTTATATCTATCTCACTATACCTTTCCCAAGTGGTTTATCATTTACTCCAAAAGAATTTGCTACATAGTTCAGCCTATTCCCATTTATTTGACATGGTGGTTTCTCTCAATATAATTTCAAAATCCAGTCCATTAAGTTATATTTATTAAACACTGACTATAGGCACACAAATTCTTCTAACCCTGCTTTTTTTAGGCCTTCCTTCTCAAGTCTTGCCTTCTGATCAATTCTAGTACATCTCAGATTTTGTTTACTTCTCTCCAGAATAATTTAAGACCAATTGTTTTGAGTTGGCTTGGCATAGGCTGAAAAAAAAGATGTTTTCTGGAGGTTTTCACAAGTCATCTCCCATTTTGACCATTGCCAGTCTTCAGGAAACTGTATGGGATAAAATTGTCAGTTAGAGATACAAAGATGGCGGAGGAGTGAAAGGGAGTCACGCTGACCTCCTCCGAAAACCAAACTGGAATTGCAACTAAATAATGGAGTAATCACCTGGAAAGCAGTGGAGCGATAGTGGGAGAGGAGCCTTGGTGCCGCGGACAGTGGATTCTACTCTCACACATCCCAACGGGTGAGAATTGCGGTGGAGGCTCCAGAGGGTGGGCTGGGTGCACACGGGCACTGGCACCAGAGGGACATTGAAACGGCCAGTTAGCTTCCCCCGAGAAGAACGGGGTCTGAATCATAAACAGGAACCCCTAAACTACAGCAGCTAAAGCCAAGAAATGACAGGCAAAACGCAACCCCAAAAAGCTTAGGGGTGCTCTCTGCCAGAGACAGGTGGCTGGGGATGCAAAAAGACATTTAAAGGGCAAACGCAAAAGTTGCAGCGGCAGCCACCCTCCTTGATCGCTGGGTAGAGGTAGCAGCAGGGTGGGCTGGTGCCTGGGAAAAGACTGGTGAGGAAAACTTTGTGAAGAGAACTGACACAGCGGCCAGTGGAGCCCGGGTGATAACACACTTCCCACTCTGCAGCTACCATCTCGCTCAGGCATAAGGGAATCGATTAACCTGCCTTTTGTGCACTCCGCACACAGCTTGTACACGTGTGAGCTGCGGGGCTGAGTGCAGACTGGCTGGGAGAGCCCTGAGGAGAGACTGGAGACAGAGGCGTTGGGGAAAGAACGGGAGGAGGAACCGGGGAGTCCCGACTCCCTCCCCGTTCAGTAGTCTCCATTGTGGGCTGGAAAGGCGTGACCCCAAAGAGGCAGAAGCGGGGCGCGCATGAACCAGACTGCCTGCGATTGAAATGCAGTCCGCACAGGGGTTGGATCCTTGGCCGAAGGGGTCACAGAACTGCCCAGAGGCCCCTGAGGGGAGACTAAAAACGCAGGCATTGGGGAAAGAACGGGAGGAGGAACCGGGGAGTCCCGACTCCTTCTCCTTGCCGAAGTCTCCATTGTGCGGGAAGAGGCCACACCCCCAAGGAGCCAAAAGCCGAAAAGCAAACATAGACACCCCCAAAACACCCAGAGCAGGCGCGCACACTTGCGCCGAGTGACCTGCGTGGGTTGGCGAGCGTGTGTGTGACCTACGCGGGCCGGCGAACGCTTGCACCTGCCGGCAAGGCCTCACACAGACTGGCACCCATACGGCCTGCGAGGGAATGCACAGAGGGGCAAGGGCAGGCGTAAATTGACCTACCTGCCGCGATTGCGGAGTGGCCCACAAAATAAGTAGAGCTGCCCAGAGTCCCTGGAGCAGAGACCAGAAACAGGATTAACCGGAGAGTCCTAGAGCTGATTTCCTCCCATTTCCGTAGTCCCCATTTGGCGAGGGCAAGCAATGCACCCAAAGAGCCAAAAGCGGGGAAAACACACAATAGAAGACCCTAAACTGACCAGTGCCGCGAAGCTCGCGTGCCAGGGAGGCCAGATGAGTACGGGAGGTCGCGAATAAGCCCCCTGGTCTGGGGCAAGCACATGCGAGCCCAGGCAGGAGGGGGACCCTGCCGCGCTGGGAACGCGCTCAAGGAGCCCGCGTGAGAGCGCAGAGAGATCCCAAAAAATAGCCCAGCCCTGACCGAAGGGGTCACAGAGCTGCTCCAAGCAGGCGTCAGACACAGGTATTAGACTCCTGAAAGACTCAAACAAACAACCCAAGGCTGTATAGGGTCAACAACTGACATCATCAGAGGCAGGCCCAGAAAGAAAAGTAAAGGACAAAAATACTTAACAGACTCTCACAAAAATGGGAAGAAAAAGAAGTTCCCCTCAAATGAGTGGAAAAGGGGACTCCCCACAGAGAGAGCTAAATGAAATAGAGGCAAGGGAATTATCAGATATGGAATTCAAAACAATGGTTCTAAGGAAGCTCAATGAGCTCAGCCAGCTCAAAGAGAACTATGAGAAACTGCAGAGAAACTATCAGGATCTCACAGCAAACTATATCAGCCTGGAAAAGGACATAGAAACTATCAAGAAGACACAAGAGGATATGAAGAATACCATTTCTGAATTGAAGAACACAGTAGAAGGAATCCAAAGCAGGCCGGATGAAGCTGAGGATCGAATCAGTGAGATGGAGGACAAAGTAGAAAAAAGCTCCCAGAAAGAGCAAGAAATGGAAAAACAACTCAAAAAGAATGAAGAAGCATTTAGGGAAATGCAGGACAACCTGAAACGCAATAATATCCATATAATAGGGATATCAGAAGGAGAAGAAGAGAAGCAAGGAATAGAGAACCTCCTCGAAAAAGTAATGATGGAAAATTTGCCCAATTTGAGGAGAGTAAAGGTCTCATGAATCCAGGAGGCACAGAGGACCGCACTCAAGAGGGACCTAAGGAGGTCCACTCCAAGACACATCATCATTAAAATGGCAACTATCAAAGACAAAGAAAGAATCCTCAAGACAGCAAGGGAGGAGAAAGT